AAGGGAAGGGGACGCATCGCGTAAGCCGTGGCGGGGAGTGCAGTTGGAGGTATCCACGTGCACTCACAGTTGGCTTATTTTTTTTTTAATGGACAGACTGTTTTTATTTTTTTAACCAGAATTAGTTACCAAAACCTTCAAATGGAAAGATTTAACAACCACATATTTAAAAAAAAGGGGGGGGGTCACAGTTGCTAGTGAACAGCTGAGGAATCGGGCAGTGTTAGGCGCACAATCCTTTGTCAGGAGGCACCACCGTGCTGGAGCGGGGTGCTGTTCACCCCGGGTCACCCCTGACCCGCTACTCCCTACTGTCTTCACGCCCTCATTCATTCACTGGGACTGTGACTCTTGGACTGATCCAACTGCTGAGTTTCACAGATCCAATGAGATTAGGTGACTTACCTGTGGTGGCGTGCTGGCAGAGAAGGAACGGGGACACAGATCTCTCCCCTCCCTGCTCAGCGTCTGTCTCTCTCCACTCTAAGAGCACAAGTACCCAAAAACCTTGGCTCACTACCTCTTGGGCATCAGGCCCACCATCTTCCCAGGCCCAGGGTGGCTCCTGGGGTGGGATGCCCAGCACTCACTAGATGGGGCCGAGGCTCTGGCAAGGGGAATGCTTGGAGAGGGCCACAGAGCTGCTTACCCAGGAGGTTTCCTGTGCGGGGGGAGAAGAGGGGTCCGCCACTGGAGCCACCATGCACGGCACATGTGGTCTGGAGCATCACCGCTGTGTCATCCACCCGCACCACAGCTGACAGGATGCCTGAGGTCACCGAGGGCCCGCAAGCCTGGCCAAAGACCCCGAAGCCCACCACACTGACAGCTTCGCCTGCCCAGGAAGAAAGGAGGGTGAAGGTGGGGAGTCACCTCTGTCTGACAGGACTCACACACTCCCCAACCTGCTCCCTGCCCTCTCCGAAGTTCCAAACCTTCTCTGCCCTTCAGGCTCCTGCCTCCAGGAAGTCTGACCCAGGTCCCCACAGGAAGAGGCCAGGACGTCCACTGAGCTCCCAGCACCTGCTCACCACTTGTTCTTGGCATCAGGCTGTTCTCCGGCCCTCATTTCCCTGCTGGACCGGGGAGTTACTTTTCAGGGTCCCTGGCACCCAGCCCCGTGCTCAATAAATGTTTGTGTCAGTTAAGTGTCTGCCTTTGGCTCGGGTCATGATCCCAGGGTCCTGAGATCGAGCCCCACATCAGGCTCCTTGCTCCGTGGGGAGCCTGCTTCTCCCTCTGCCTGCAGCTCCCCCTGACAAATAAATAAATAAAATCTTTTTTAAAAATGAAAATAATAAATGTTTGTGACATTAACACCCATCTCCTCCTTGGACTAAGAAGTTTCTTGGTGAAAAAAGGTGGTAATGATGACGACCAACTACCTGCCAGTAACTTCCTTTAGCAAGTGCTCTGAATGTACAGGGCTAAACGCTTTGTTGGCAACGTCTCACCCACTCCTCATAATGCCCAGGAGTAGAGAGCATTATTCCCATTTTACAGATGTGGAAATTGAGGCAGAGAATATGGAGTTGCCTGTCCAGGGACACAGGGCTAGCAAGTGGCAGAAGAGATGCCAACTGAGAGAGCTCACGGTGTGCATCCCCACAGTGAGACCTGTGGCACTCCCAAGGCAGCATGCCATGCCACCGGAGCTTCCAAAGTCTAACACTGCTCTGGCCAGCCTGCAGTGTTACAAGGAGCCACCAACCCACACTCAGTCCCTCCACATTACACCACTGCAGGGCCTCAGGGAAAAAGGTGTGCCTTAGCCTTCACCAGGGATCCCACCTGCAACCTCCGCCCCTCCCCAGGACCTGGGGCATGCTGGGCACAGCAGGGAAGCCTCCAAGAGCAACCCCAGCCAAAGTGCTGAAACCAGGCTGACTCCACCCCAGCCTCATGCCACCCTGACTCATGACTCCAGCAGGGCTGGGGCAGGGAGCCCGCCTAGAGGACTGGCCCCCTGATCTAGAGGGTTAAGAGTGCTCAGCACTGACTTTGCCTCCTGAGCTCCCCCCCAGACCAGAGGGCCCCTTGCCCTTTACCTTCATGGAAATGCTCAGCCGGCACCGGCAGGGGGACACCGTGTAGGTCCTTCTCCAGGCTCACTACCGCTACGTCATAGGGGGAGGTCTCCTGGGTGGCAAACGCCACACGTCCCCAGATCGTGGCACTCCTAGGAGCAAGGGAAACAAAGTGACGGGCTAGCTTTCTGACCCTTTAGCGCTGGGAGGAAGCAAGGGGATGAGAGTGACTGTAGAAGCCACGGACTTGGGGGTTGACGGCTCTGGCATCAGCCCTGACACGTGCCAGGCAGGCATCTCTGGGCACGCCCTCGGCCATCCTGTGGTACTTCCAAACATGCTTCATACTTCTGTGTAAGCCCCCGGCGCCTCCCCATATTCCTAATGCCTGGCACCTGGGGAGCACTGTGGGCCAGGGCAGGTGTTAATGCTCTATGCACACCCCTTTCGTTCTCATCGGAGCCTTAAGAACCAGGCACTGGTGTTACCGCCATTTTAAATGGTGCATGTGAGGGCCAGAGAGGTTGAGTAACTTCCTCAAGGTCACACAGTAAGTGGCAGAAGCCAGGGCACACATTCCCAGTGTTTTCTTTCACTGCCTCATTTCGGGCAAACAATCCTGCCAGTTGGTGAGGCAGACGTAGGATTTCGATCCTGTGTCCCTGTGTTACATAAAGGCCAGCACTTCTATGGCTCTCACTGTACGCCAGGCTCTGTTCCAAGACTTTACAGGTCCACTCAGGGAGGGGGAGCAGAGACTGGCTTGCCCAGGACCACACAGGGGCTCCCCGCTACACTCTGCAGGGACACCTTCCAACAGACCCCGTGGACTCCCTAGAAGCAAGTGTGTGTGTCCTTGGGCCGGGGGATTGGGCACCACACCTTCGGGAAATCCTCATTACCAGTCTTCCTTATAGAGCCACGGCCGTCCTGCTGGCTTCCAGGGAGACACCCCACAGCAACGCCAGGCTGGGTTAACACTGGAAATTCAGGAGAGGGATTTGGAAAGGCCTGGACTGCAAGGTTAGGCTGAGCCAGGCACAGAACCTCAGGCATTAACACCAAGGTGCAATAACCCCTCTGCTCCTAAGTTGAGCACCTGGAACTACCGCAGAAACAAAACGGGTACTAGAAACCCAAGCCAGGAAGCCAAGGCTTTTGTCCCCGCTGCCGGGCAAATGGAAGAAAAGGGGCCAAGAGTGCTTTCCCTGCAGAGACCTAAGTGACCAAAGTCCCAACCTGGCTGCCAGGATCACCCAGAGATCATTCCAGTACATCTGTGTGCTCGGCCCCACTCCCACGTTCTAATTAGGTGGAATTCCACACGTGTCATTTTTATCGGGATGGGAAGTTCCGCTTAAGGTCTAAGAGAGCAATCAAGTAAGAGTAAGAGGCCCCTCTCCTGACCCCAGGAAGGCAGCATTCTGGGCCTCTGAGACCCCACTACCGCTCTCAGGGGAGAGAGAACAGGGCGGCGAAGTCTCCATTCAAGGGGCCTAGTGGAGTGTGGGTGCAGGGCTAGGAGACAGAGCAGTCAAAGTTCAAAAGGAATTCAGGCTGGGAGGGGGTGTTCAAAGACGCCCAGTCAGGGATGCTGGGACTCGCCACAGTGCCCCAGTCCAGAGTCGCTTGGCATCTTGCCCAAGCCCCACGCACCCCCTGCCAGGAAGGGTGCCCCGTATCCCCTACACTGGGGTTGAATGCCGAGGATGAGGGGACTGACTCAGATCTCTATCCGCACTACACCATCAAAGCATCAGCATGACGCCAGAAGGCCTCCATTTTCCTCGGTTACGATCTGAGAGCCTGGGGGCGGGGGGCGGGCAGAGTTGGGGCAACCTTGCGGGCCTTACTTGGGGGGCGTGGTGCGCACCAGGACCCTGGCCGCCTCCCGAGGGGCCACATGCCGGCAGGTCACCACGAGGCGGGGCCCCACGGCCACTCCGGAGCCCCAGACGGTGCCGCACTCCACCAGCACGGCCGCAGCTGCCCACGGGGGCCCGGGGTCTCGGAGGGGCAGGCCCCACACGGCGCCCATCTCCTGCGGCAGGAGGGCGGCCAGGGCGTGGGTGCCGGGGCCCAGGCGGCCGAGAGCGGCTCGGGCGGCGCGCAGGAGCGGGGCGGCGGCGCAGAGCAGCGTGAGGCCCACCCACTCGCGGGCCTTCCAGCAGAGGGGCGCGGCCACGAGTGCCACGAGCGCCCCCGCGGGCCGCGCCGCGAACACGCCGCCGCCCTCGGTGCCGGGCAGGCAGCGCGCGTCGGTGAGCAGCAGCGGGCCGGCTGCGTTGCTGAGCACGCCGCGGCTGAGGGTGTTGAGGAAGATGTCCGGGCAGAAGGCCCCGAACGGGGAGCCGCAGGCCAGCAGCGGCGCGCCCTTGGGCACGGCCCCGGGAGACGCCACGGCCACAACCGGCCCACGCTCCTCCTCTGCCGCCGCCTCCTCCTCCGGGTCGGGCCGCAAGCGCAGCAGCGCGAACCAGCCCAGCGCTCTCAGCTGATCCTCCTCCTCCTCCTCCGACACCTCGTCGTCCGGCGCCGCGCTCGCGAAGCGCCACTGCTCGGCCGCCTCGCCCCCGAAGAGGCGCGCGAAGTGGGCCCGGAAGGCCGGGCAGCTCAGCAGCAGCAGCAGCTCGGCGGGCCGCGGGGGCTGCAGGAGCCGCCCGCCGCCGGGTCGGGCCGGCGGGCCGGGCTCTGGGCCGGCGCACTGGGGCGTGCACAGGCCCGGACGGCCCCGCTCCGCGCGGCCTGCGAGGCTCGCGGCTGCCGGACCCCACTGCACGTGCAGGCGCAGGTCGTCACCGCAACTGTCGCCGGGCAGGAAGGCGGCGCCGGCCGCGGTCAGCGCCGCGCTCCCGGCCCGCAGGAAGGGGGTGAAGATGCCCCCGTGGCACAGCACCAGGTCCGGGTAGCGGCTCAGGATCACCCCGCTGCAGCTCCACGAGCCCGCCTCGGCCTGCCCGGCCCGGGAGGCGCTCACCACGCATCCCGCCTTCTCGGCCGCCCTCATGGAGGGCCCCCACTGCCGCGCCATGTCCTCCAGAACGGTGCACACGGGGTTTTCGGAGGAACGAGGGAGACAGCGAGGACCCCGGTCGGGACCCACGGGTCCCACGCAGCGCCACCCAAAGCTGGAAGCGAGAGGTGCAAACCCTGACTCAGGTCTTCCTCGTCGGGCCCGATTGGCTAAGCCCCAACTTGCCCGGCCCCATTGGCTGGGCTTGGGGCCGAGCCCTGATTGGCTGCCTAGGCTGACCCCATCCCTTTCCCCGCCCTCGTTGGTTCGGGCCACCTGTGCGACCTCGGCGCCGAAGCAGTCCGGGACGATAAGCTCAGGGAGAGGGGTGGCGTGTGGTTTTACCGAGAGACCGGGCTTGGGTAAGGCGGAGTCCCTTTTCTGTTCGTTGGGCTGCAGGAAAAGGAATAGAAATGAGGGCCGTCGTGGCTAGACTTGCCCAGGCAGTGATAGGACCTGAGTATCTAGATGTTCAAGTCTAAACCAGCGGTCTCTGACCCTTGGCATGATAAGGGCAAGGAAATCCTTGGCCCCTTGGCCGAGTTAGTAATTTGAAATTTTGTGAATTAACCCTACAGCAATCCACTAGGTGGCATGCAGCTCACAGGACTACACCTAGGACCTTTTGATGCCAAAGCCCAAGACAAAACTGATGAAAACTGGGTTTGTGCAAAATAAAATTGCCCTTTAAGACTGATGAACAGTAACCCGGAGTCAAATTTTTCAATTCTACAACCCTATACTTTGCAGTGTGCACATCTCATAACCATATATAACATTTGTAACCACACCTAGGTTTTTATCTAGGTCGGGGGCCACTTTTTCCGTGAAGGGCTAGAGCCTCAGTCGTTCAGGTTTTGCGGGCCATATGCTCTCTCAAATACCCAAGTGTGCAGTCGTAGCAGGGCAAAAGCTAAAGGAATGGATTGCTGTGCTCCAGTAAAACTTCCCTTTGGACGCTGAAATCTGAATTTTATGTCACAGGCAGCATTTTCCCCCCACACAGGCCATACAAACACAGGCAACAGCCCAGATTATTGTAGCGCATGTCAGCATTGACAAAAATTATTCAATTACTACTTAAATTACATAACCTTTCTGCCTCAATTTCCGAATAAAACTAATGCTGCTGTTCCAACAAACCTGCTGGAGAAAGTTAAATGATGACCCATCATAGTATGAGGTGGGGCTGAGATTAGCAGTCTTCCATAGCAGGCACGGCCTTCTTTTGGTTCTGTGACACAGAAGCTGTCTCGATCACAGGAAAATCTAATTATCCCAACTTCCTAGCAATTAAGAGTTTCTTTCTCTCTAGAGTCCCGTGATTCTCCCTTAATGACACTCAAGCCTCCAGCACGAACCGTTCGTTATGCATCAGGTTTTTCTGCTTACAGCACATTAAAGAGTCCCCAGTCACAGCCAGCAGCCAAGGTGAGACCCCTTGAGTGCTGGGCTCATTGACTCAGTCTGTACTTCTCATGTGCCACTCTAACTCAAACGACACAGACATTATTTATAAACAGAGAACCCATGGCGATAGAACCCAATTTTGTTTTAATCCAGCTCTGCTTGCTAACAGAGGAAAGGCATGCTCTCCCCAGGTTTATCCTTCACTGAGCCGCTGCATTTGGTACCTGGCAGTGAGAAAGTATGCTTTCCTAATAGTGAGAAATCCATGAAAGGGTAATACTCTCACTCACCCCTGGAGTGGGTTATCCACACTTACCCATAGAACCCATCACTTTAGTAACAGGGACATTAGTTTCAATCACAAGATGACTCTAACACTTTTAATGCTTGGTCAAAAAGGACCTGTTGCATTTTGCTTCCCATTCTATTTGCCCCATTACTTTAGTTTTAGAATCTCATTTGGGTTTTCTAAAAACAAGGCTTCCTACAAACCTGGTAAATGTACAGGCACACATTTCATCCCTTTCCCTATTTTATCAAATGCAGCACACAACTGAAGCTCTCCAATTTTGTATAAAATGATGAATGGTAAACAGCTAAACTGGACCCATTCCTTGCTAGCTAGCATGTTAATAGATTTTGTTTAGAAAGTATACCACCAATCCTGGGATCACATGTTCGAAGCCTCTCAAATGGTACTAAATTTATTACTTTGAAATGTGTGAATTGGCCTAGCCTTTTTTTTTCTCCTGGTAGCAAAACTTGTCTCTCATATCCTTTGTATTTCTTCTCCTAGGAAGGAAACAACTTTTGCTTCCCCACCCCCACCACACACACAACAAACATCAGGAGATGTTCAAACTCAGAACCAACCAACGCAAATAAATGAAAAAATAAATGGCAGAAGATAGCAAGTTTGTTTTAACTTTTTATTAAAATGCTTAGGATACAGATTGACTTTCTTTTGTAAATGACTTTTAACTTTTCCTGAAATAGGACATATATGCACTCTGATAAAACAGAATGAAAAGTTTCAATTCATGGGAGTTCCTGTACAAAGCTCTGATCCTCACTGTTAAGAGCCAAGCTCCTCACAGCAGCTTCTTTTGCTATCTTTTTATAGAACAGTGTTTTCTGTGAAGAAATAGATGCCAGCTGACTTTTCAATTCCCTCTTTCTCCAGTGGCCAAAATAAACCACTTTCACAAAGAGCTGAGCTGTGTAGAATCCAGTTTTCTAGCTTGCTACGAAATGATTAGGGACAAAGAGGAAAACACAAAAACAAAAAAACAAGAAAACTAGCACTGCGTTCATACTTCTCAAGTCTCTGGATAAAGAAGTATGGGTTACCTTTAGCCAAAGGAAATTAAAAGTGTGCAAGTTAACTACCTAGTTCATTCACCATTAGCTAGATTTGTTCATTTAAGGCTTTCACCCCTTTCCAAACCAAAAATTTTGTTTTAATCCAGCTCTGCTTGCTAACAGAGGAAAGGCATGCTCTCCCCAGGTTTATCCTTTACTGAGCCGCTGCATTTGGTACCTGGCAGTGAGAAAGTATGCTTTCCTAATAGGTCAGTACTGAAGACTAACAGTGAGAAATCCATTAAAGGGTAATACTCTCACTCACCCCTGAAGTGGGTTATCCACACTTTCCCTACCCTCACATTAGACACAGAATTCCACTGAATTTAGTTCAAACCTTTGCATCTTCATCACAATTTTCAGTTTTGAGGAAACTACTTCTAATCTCTCCTTAAAGAAAAAGGAAGACATCCCCCCATTTTAAGAAAGGCTCTAATATTGGTTAAGATCATGAAAATCCAATTTTACACATGGCACTAAGAAAAAGGAATGCTATGAAAATGATCCTCATCACACTACTGGGCATGCTGAGGCTTTTTATACTGAGCTCTTAATGACAAGTGACGCTGGCTCAAAAAGAACAACACTACACAAAGTTCTTAGAGTTTCCCCAGCTTATCTCTGGAACGGAGAAAGGCAATTTCATACCAAAAAAAAAACCTATAAAAAGAGCTCATGAACAGTCCCATAAAAAGACCAAATCCTGCAAGTGAGAACTTTCAAGCCCACCAAATAAATCTTTCCTGGATCCAAACAAATGCTACAAATGCCAGATTTTTAAGTTCTCAACTCACAGAATTAAAAGCCCTTCAGCTGTTAACTGTCCTGTGTGACTCACCTATTCAGAAAATTTTCCCCTAGAATCTGTGCAAAAGTAACCGACGCATGCCTGCGGTGTAGGACAACATGGGGGATGTTCTCTTTTATGAGGCAAAAGTCAACTGAAAATTAAAGAGGTGCTATGGAGAGAAACAGTTTCGTAACAGTATAAAAGCAAAGACTGTCTGAAATCTGTAGCTTTGAAAGTAAAAATAATAAAATAACCGCTCTATATTGAACTCCTCCCACAGTGAACCAACCATCTGCTCTACACACCACCGTGAGGAATGACCCTGGCTGACCACAGTGGAAGCCTGCCGCCACCGCCAGGCCAGGCCCTGCCCTCCCCTGCTCCACTGTGCACAGGTGGCGCCACCTACTACAAGGCAGTCAGAGAGATGGGGAGCTTCTCTCACTAACCTGCTAACTCAACAGGAGTAACTTCACTTGACTGAGCTCTGGCCTCCAACGTTTCTGTGCATAATTTTATGAAGAATCTAAATGCCATTCACTAGATCAAAAAGAAAAAAATAGAAAACTCTGGACCAAGTAAATTTTGAACTCAAAAAATTAGGAGGGACACCAATTACATTAACAACACTTTCTTTAAAAAATAGAATCGCTTTCTTTTGAAATCAACCACAGTGGTGAGACGTGTTTTTCTTTTCAGGTGCCCCAGGATGGCACACAGCTGTACCCAGCAAATCCTGCCAGCTTCCGAGTCCCGGGATGCTGCCCCGCACCAGCACATGGGGCAGCGTTACCTCCCGACAGTGTGGAGAAGAGCACATGTCACCACTGGGCGATGGGAGAGCTGACAGAGACTCTTGGCTTCTCAACGCCAGACACGGTTGAAGAGCTTTCCTTGTTCTATTAGAAAAGTTCATGAGGAAGCTGTGAATAGGATCAGTCCAGAGAAGTAAAACTCTTTTATTTTCACTGTCCAAACATCAGTCAATGTACTGGGAAAGCCAGCGGAAGCCCTCGCCGTAGCCTTGCCTCTTGAGCACACTGCACATGAACACTTCCATGGGGCGGGCGTTCAGCTCCTTCAGGGTCACATTCCCCTACGGGAGGCAAAACCAAGAAAGGCCTGTTAGCATCCACATGGTGGAAAAGCTTGAAAGGGTGATCACAAATCACTCTCTTTATTCCTCAAAAGCAAAGGAAGTAGGAATTAATTATAGAAACGTAGTCAAGGCCATGCAGGTAACTTCCCCAGAGCTTCATGCTTTCAGCACAGTTCTATTCCCAGATTCTCTCTGTAAAGAACCTTTACTTTGAACACACCATCATCTGGAAAGTTATGACAGCTAACCAAGAAAAAGGCCACTAGGACCCACAGAACCAGCATGCTCTTTGATGGAGAGAAGTCCAAGACTCTTTGGAAATAAGGACATTCTTGGGGCACCTGGGTGGCTCAGTCAGTTAAGCATCCAACTCTTGGTTTCGGCTCAGGTCATGACCTCAAGGGCATGAGATCGAGCCCTGTATAGGGCTCCTCACTCAGTGGGGAGTTGGCTCAAGATTCTCTCCCCCTCCGCCCCTCCCCCCACCACACATGCCTGCTCTCTCAAATAAATCTTTAAAAAAAAAAAAAAAAAGAGGGGCGCGTGGGTGACTCAGTGGATTAAGCATCTGCCTTCAGCTCAGATCATGATCTCAGGGTCCTGGGATCGAGCCCCAAGTGGGACTCCCGTGCTCAGCGGGGAGTCAGCTTCTCCCTCTCCCTCTGACCCTCCCCTTGCTTGTGCTCTCTCTCTCTCTCTCTCTCTCTGCATGCTCTCTCTCAAATAAACTCTTAAAGAAAAAAAAAAAGGACATTCTCATTAGCACAAGCATTCAGAAATCTATACTAATAACAAATTATATCAAGGAAATTAAGAATTCATGTTGTATAACGCTCATGCAGAAGAGGGAAACTAAATTAAAGCAAATGTTTCTAGAAAGAAATCGATAATCAAGAAGAGGTAAAACTAAGAAATAAGAAACCATATAAAAAAAGTCAGAAGGTTATCAGAGACCCCAGAACAGGGAAATTTTTAAAACTGACTATGCCAAAACTACAAGCTGAAGAAAACAGAATTCCTGCTTAACTACAGTTGATCTCAATTTTCTCTCTCATAAGCACTTCTGCATCAGAGTTCTCCTTCCAGCTGGAGACAGCATATAACCTACTGATCTGAGAGACTCAGGTTCTATTCCTGGTTTTATCACTGACTTGGCTGTGTAGATCTGAACAAATAACTCTCAGATTTTCCTCATCTTCAAAATGGGGATTACAGTCCTACGTCTCTCAGCAGAGAACACTGAGGATAATCCAGTGCTTGGGTTTCAGTGCTTGGAAAGTGATCATGAATGATCACTCTTCTTCATAACCTGAAATCTCCGGCCAAAAACAAGACTGATTTCTGGTTAAGAAGGCCTCCTTCAAAAAAGATTTCTCTGAATTAGAATCAAAAGAGAGTCAGAAAATTCTTAAACTGGTAAGTTTGCGTTTCCTACCAATTTCTTCATCCTCATATACCTGAGGAAAATTTCATCAGAAAACAGTGAAAGAATAGGCTCCTGCCTTCTGAATGACTACAAATCACCTATTGGTAAAACCAATCCTAGGCCCAGTTAAACTTTTGAAAGACAAGTAAAATCTAGATAGCAAAATATGAATGTCTCGACAGCTGTGAATTTCCTTAATAATATGTCCCCTGATGATTTTTCTCTTACCTTTCCTGTGGTCTGTCCATAAAGCCCAAATATCTCACGGAGTTTTTCTTCACTGATCGCATCTGTTCTGTCAATCTTGTTACCCAAGATAAGGATTGGCACATTGGATATTGTTTCATCAGTCATTAGAGCCTAAAGACAACATAAAAGAGCTAGGTGAGGAACCTATGAAGGCCCACCAGATCATGAAAATCACCCGGACTTTCACTTGTCTACAAAGTATCAAATGTAAAGAGAAATTCTGATCATCTTTATACCTGAGTGATGAACTAAAAGTCTTCACGTTATACAACACTCTTAATATTAGGTAAGAAACTCCTCAAAATTACCTTGACATTAGGTAAGAATCCCCTAACAGCCTCAAAACAATTGCAACTTAAGGCTGTGTCTATTTACAGGGCAGCAGAACTGCCCTAACCTTAACTCTGAGATAAATCACTCAGCCACAGACCATCCTCAGGCTATCCACTGAGCAGAGTCCTAGAAGACTGAATGCTCTGGCTACAGAGCCTCAAAGATGGCGACAGGAAGTCCCCACATATACAATGAGTGCCCAATGTGTGCAAAGCACTATCTCAGGCACTGATAGGGATACAAAGAGATAAGACATATCCCTGGCCTCGAGAAATCCTCACTCTATGTTCATACACATCTGTCAACAAAGCAAGGCAAGTGTATGATTGTCACAATGAATAGGGACAGAATATAAATACCAGAAGACATTCGGGGAAATCAAATGGCAGGGGAAATGGTGGACTTAAGGAAAGTCTTAGCAAAGTTGAGGAACCCAAACTAAGCTCTGAAAGAAGGGCAGGTTTTGGACAGGTGGAAAGGAGAAGGAAGAATATAAGCAATGCATTACAGTAAGAAAAGAATTCAGAAAGCCACATGGAGAATTGCCTGTCTTTATTATGTTGACACACAGTAAAATAGAATGGGAAGGCATGATCAACATTATGATGCCTGAGACGTTAGCTGCAGTAGATCCTAAAGACCCCAAATCCAGAAATTACTGAAT